AATCGTTATCAGATCTATATCGTTTGGACATCAAAGTAATTGGCTACATAACAGCTGGAAACTGTGCCACAGCAAATGAATACCTTTGATCATTCGGTCTCTGATTCTTGAGTTTATTCATCAAGTTTGGTATAAAACATTAATCAATGAACGATCCATTGAAATGTCTAGCATCTATACTCTCACTTTTCTGTTTGACTAAATTGGAAATCCTGATTCAATATGATAATTTATGTTCAGCGTTTTAGGTCAACAGTTTTCAATATTAGAGCTAGAATGTAATGCAGGCAAAATTAAAGATTTCCTTTTAGTAATTTAACAAGGAGTATTTATGACATTATTAATTAAATCATACCAAACAGTTAACGCTGCCGGTTGCCTGCTAGTGTTAATTAGGGATAAAGCTTAACGAACCCCGATGCGAAATTTCGCAGTACACCTGTCTATACCGTTATTTATTGCCGTTTGTTAGTTGAACACGATCCTATTTCTTCGCTCGTGTTTCAGTCTGAGCTTCCGCGGTTGTATTACTTACAAATCGTAGTTGTGCTTCTACAATTTAATGTTGGTTTTTATGGCTTCCCCATAACACAGTCAATATTTCAATGTTTTGTTAACGGGCGTTTCACGTTTGAACGATTATTGGAATTCGATGTTTATGAGAGTTCGAGTCCGTTGGGCTGTTAGTTAGACTATGAGTTCCTGTATAATATCTTGTTTATTTTGTAGAAATATCTTACGTCTTAAAGCGTACTGGCATGTTGAAAATCAGTTCTGAAAAAGGCTTATACAGAAAAATGAAGCCCCGTCTGTTATTTTATTTTTATGAAATTCACATGTTAGATAATATGAAGATTAATAAAATATACATGGGTTTTTTAGCAAAATCAGGGTTTAGCACTTTAACCAAAAAAATACGTCATGAAAAGGAATCTTTTTTATTTTTTTCAGGTCCATGTGAAGTGGAAACAGGACAAACTAGCATTATACTAGACATCGAAGAGAGCAGAGGAAATCGTAAGTGTTTATTTTACCCGTATTATTGCAGAACCAAAGAGATTTTTGCAAGTCTTTAGACTCAAGGATAAATCAATTATTTGCAGAAGTAAACCAAAGCACAGTGCCACCAGAATTACTTATAGTGGGGGAGCCAGATGTTGATGTGGTGTTATCTACGGTGTTCCCCAAAGGCCCCACCTTATTTCAGCTCGATGGAAAGCGATTGCAACTGCTACAACCGCTGGATAGAGATGCAGACAACCTCTCGCATATGGTATTTCAGGTGATGGAACTTATTTTTTATTTTTCTGTTCATTTAACAAAATGCAATTCAGGCAAAATTAAATTATGCTTGTGAAATCAAAATCGAACTTGGATAAAATTTGTTATAAAATTATGCAGCATACGAAGCAGATGATATTCGGAACAATGCTGATAGTTCAAAATTTTGTTTAAATTTATATATGAAGTTACAAAATTTAAAACGCTTTAATTTGTATTTGAATATAGGTTTTTTGAAAAGCCTTTAATATTAGCCTGGCCCTTACCATAGTCCATGTTTTGAATACCGATTATACGGCATTCCACAATTGACTGTGTCCACATTTGTCGTTGTTAAGGCATTCATAATTTACATTTGTTTACACCAGATTCCATACAAACGACTGTTGATATCCAATTTACCGTTTGAATTACTTGTATATATATTCGAACTATTCCAGTGCTACAAATAGGTCTTTCGTAAGGGTCTTTGGTACAGTAGCCAACATCGCGAATCTATATCATCTTATTTGCATTGATGCGGTTCTTATACAGTAGAAGCAGTACGCAGAAACGAATAATAGCAAAGAGACTATCTGAAATGTTTTGATACGTATAGATATTTTTCTGCATATTTTTCTACAAAAGCATTCTGCCTCACCTCCCAAAAGTGAGTTAACGGTTTTTTTTATTATAATAATATTCGAAATTGAGATGATCACTACAATTCTTTCTACCAAAAATAGTTTTATTAACATTCGTTTTCGAATGAAGCTCGATGGAATAAGAATTTTATTCGACAAGTCATCGTAATAAATTTGTGTATCAATGACGCTTTTTCATCACAACACTCGTATGACCAATTTGGTGTTACTAAAAACATGGTAATTATGCCAATAGCGTTATTTTCCTCACCTGTTCGGAGTTGCCTGGGGGCGATTGGCTATTCATTTTAATTGACTGTTGAAGTTTCTAATAATCAAGTGTTCGCCCACAGCTCGTCTGTCAAGTGAAAGCTACGAAGAAGCGTCGCACCATACCAGTTATCGTGAGGGTGTCGGACATCAATGATAACGCACCGGTCTTCCAAGGATTGCCTTACGAAACAAGCGTATCAGAGGTGAGATTACACATAACATGTTTAACAAAGATATCGAGTGCACTCGCTTAACTTTACCTTTGGAAACGGTCCCGACTACACAAATGCTCGAACTCAAAATCGAGTACAGCGTTGTTACAGGATATAGTTTCAATGAAATAAAATCTCTATTACATTTACAAGTAGGTTTTATTTGATCGAGCCTGTTTTTATAACAGAATAGCACAGCACTTTTGCTTTAGTTGGTTCTTGGGAAATGGTATTCAGTTCTATGCATATTCTTGTACTAATACCATATACATATCACTTATTACCATTGTATAATGGGAATATCCATAACATAAAGAGTTTTATCGTAAAACCCACTTACAACTTCTATTTTTTTACGATTGAAATCGGAACAAATTAATTATTAGACAAAATCTTGGAAAGAGTCACTATCAGAAATGTGTATGACCAAAGTTATATTCGTCTTTGTTTTATAATGCATCGTAGAACAAATTATCAGCTAACTTGGGGCGCATATTGGAGGACGTGTAAAAATATTGTTTGTTATAGATAGATTTTTAAACGTGATAAATATATATTGAAAAATAAATGAAGCTATGCCAGTTAAAATTTTCAAATTCCATTCTCATTTTCAGCTTGTCCCAATAGGCACTACGGTATTCGACGGTATAAAAACATTAGATATAGATGCGGGTGTAAATGGCCTCGCTGAATATTTCATAATACGAGGTGATAATGAGACTTTGGAAGCGGCCAACGCAGCGGACGGCTACGGTTTCTTCGCGATACCGGTGCCGCACCAGGGTCAAGTCATCGTGAACAGGAGTTTGGATTATGAGCGCACACAGCAGTATCTAGTCACTATTGTTGCTTCTGTAAGTAAAATTTGACTGTGTTAAATAAATATAGTTGACTTTTTATCGCATTCTAAACACTTCTTAATTACTAATGAACTGTCGCGGTTTTTAACAAAATAATTTCTTTTATGATTATTGAAGGGACTAATGAACGAAAAAATAAACCTTGATGGATTATATGTATATGGAATCTATTCTCATGAATTACTTTTTCCATACTGAAATCCGTATATTATACAATTTTGGGTTGTACTGACAGACAGGTGCTCCGGTAGGACTTTGTTTCATAATGACTGAGGACATAATAACTGCTTTTAATACTAACGGTAAAATTTTATCGGCTAAATTAATATATTGTTGGGTGAATTCTGTCGCTAAAAATTTCCTAATTGACAGGATCGTGCTCGTGATACAAAAAGGCGGTTGTCCAGTACCGCCACCTTAACGGTGAACGTACAAGATGATGATGACCAGGACCCATCTTTTATCTACAAAGGTTGTACACTTCATGAAGGAGCTTGTTTCAATCCAGAATATTCTAGTTATGTAAGTGATTTACAAAATCTAATACAGTTTTAGCTACCGTACAATTCTGAAACGGCTTTATCGATATTGATATAATAGGGATGATGACTGGGTAAAAGAAATGCAATTCTATTTAGTACGTCAGTCAGATAATATAAAAATATTAGATACGTATTTTTTTTTACTTCAATTTAACAAGAAATAGCTTAGATAACAGGCATTAAAGTTGAGGAGTGGGGGCTCGCTACGTCATAGTTGAGTAGAAAACGTACTCTAACGTGACGTCATGCGAAATTTCAACTCAATGTAACGCCGTAATTTTATGATTACGAAAAAAATACGTGTTCAATATTTTTTAACACTCTACCTGAGGGACAAACAAACAAAAATTAGTCATAATCCCTATTATATATGTATATTCAGTAAGTCTAAGAAAAATTTGTTATCTATTTTTTATATCCCTAAGTGATTAGTGTGGTCCACCCCAAATTATATGACAAAACAACGTTTGCCATTTGTTTGTCAGCTAATATTCTTATAGATAATTATTGCGATTAGAAAATTAATTGTAGTTTATTATTGTTTCATAATCAATTGAAGTTTGGGTTCATCTATACTAATATTATAAATTAGTTTGTTTGAACGCGCTAATCTCAGGAACTACTGGTTCGAATTGAAAAATTCTTTTTGTGTTAAATAGACCATTTATCGAGGAAGGCTTTAGGCTATATAAAAAGGAACTTATTGCCTTTAGATAGGTATTCTCTGAACTCCAAATAAAATAATAAAGTGTAAGATAAATACACTTATGTATTTTCTTGATAAATATTTACACAGAAGTAACAAACTGACAATGACAAAGAATATAAAGAGAAAAACAAAGTGGCCTATCAAAAGATATATGAAAGAAGGTTGATGTGTAAACTAAATCGTTCCAACAATATAACATCATGCTGCAACTATTAGGAGCGAAGAAATAATGGAAAACGCGGTCGAAGTCGCTGGCTGCCACTAGTAATAAATATTTTATTACTAATATTTGTCCATTAAGTGTTGATTATTTATAGGCAAGAAATAACGGAGTTCTAGGTAAACTTGTAACCTATTCACTAAAGTTTAAGGTTCGGCATTTAGATGTGAAAATGTAACAAATAGATTTTGATTCGTCGTATGTATTCATCAAACAGGTAAACAGTGGTGTCTTGGCTGGCATTCTCACCATTGAACCTGAGAAGATCCAAGCGGTTGACATGGACACACTAGACGCTAAAATACGGTATACCATCGATAGTGGAGAACCCGATTTCTGGGAGAAGTATTTCGCGATAGATGTAAATAGTGGCGCAGTGAGACAACTACTGCCAGTAGACACTAGTATTGCGAAGAGGTTCCAGTTGGTTATAAGGGTAAGCTACATATAATATTACAATTTAAAAAGTAGGGGTAATTATTAAATTGGACTTGTTTTTTTGTATGTTTTTTTTTTTAGTTATTAGGTTTGTTTGAAAGTGTACGTTTTCATAGTGTTGCCTAAAAATCAAAGAAATTTATATCTCCGTCAAACTAAAAGCATCCGTGGACCAAGAAAAAATGAAATTAGATTAACATTTTTCACCAATGTCACGATATACACTTAGTCTGTGAAAATATAATAAGTGCATTGAAGGTTTCTCGTCCGGATGCCGTTTCTTCATTGCTTGTTGGGATAAAACGTTTTCTATGAAAATTTGGAATGTCTGAGAGAAAATATAGCGGAGACATTGGTATCAATAGAATCTCATTGGCAACATTAATTTAGCTTTACTGAGTAACTTTTACTGTATTCATAGTTAAAGTAAACTAAATCAATTATTATAAATAGATGTATAGACTCTTAGTATGGGCATGAGTAAATGTCCTATTGTAATTTTGTGCCGCGCACGATTCCCTATTGATTCTTGTATGTACTTATTAATAAGTTACATAATTTTAATTTATTCGAAATATAGGCTGAAGAAGTAACCGAAGCAAAGAGATTCACCACCGCCAAGCTAACGATAACAGTGAGACCGGTAGACGCTAATCCTCCCGAAGTACAAGTGTCATCAGACGAGGGTCAAGTGGAAGAGAACTCGCCTAAAGGAACCAAGGTGTTGGATTCCAACGGGATGCCTATTAAGCTGAGCGTTACCGACGCAGACTTGGTAAGAGTCCAATAAAAACATAATCGTAGGGTTGGCTACGTAAATTTGTAAGTGGTTTGTATAGAAATTTGTTTGTGTACTTTTTGGTATACTGTTTAATTTATTACCTACCTAGGGTATTACAATCAGAGAGAGCGACTATACATACATGTTTATTGTAGAGTTAATCACCTGTTTATAGGGCTACCATCTTTAAATCTTTTAAATAATTAATCTCGTGCATAAATATAATCACCTTGTCAAAAGTTGGATGAGCAATCTTTCGTTTTGGTATGTAAAGTTAATCCAAAATAAATACTATTTATTCCTTTATTATAATAAAAAAAAGTGATGAATCATAAAGATTGTTTTTAAATAATTCTAATAAAGTTAAACGTAAAACAATCCCAATGGAACGAGCCAAAGGAAGATAAAGAAAGAAATTTTAAAGACTTCTGTATAAAAGCACAGGAAACATGTCACCTGGCATTCATTTGCTAGGGAAATTGCGTCATCACCATCACCAGCCCTTTTACATCCCCACTGCAGGGGCTCAGGCCTTCCTTATGGATGGTTAAGGAGGATGGGCCATGACCCTCCACGCTGGCCCAATGTGGATTGGAGGGTATTAACGACTGCAAATGCAGCCGGGACCAACGGCTTAACGTGCCTTTCGAAGCACGGAGTAGCTCGAGATAATAATTTTTTGGTCACCCATCCCGTGACCGACCCTTGCGAAAGTTGCTTAACGACAACGATCGCGGGCCGCGGCGCTTATTCACTACGTTACGGGAAATTGCGTAATACAGTTTTTTTATACTTTCAGGGTCCAGGTGATCCCATACCGAGTTACACCTTCGAGCTGACCACGAACTTCTTTGACATCGACAACGATGGTAATCTCGTCGTCAGCGATGAAAATCTCGATCGGGATCAACCCAACCTGGGCAAATTTAGATTTCAGGTATGAATTCGTATATTTAACTAGAATTAGTAAAAAATCTGTCTATTTACATTTATATATAAAGAGAATTTAAAATACAATGTTGAACACCAGTTCTTTTAGTTTAAGTGTACATAGCCAATTACATTGCGTTGCCTAATAAGATGGATATAACATTAGAGTATATAACATTAGTTTTATAATATAGCTGTTTTAGGACAATCTCTAAATAAGTATTTAGCAGATCGCAGATAGTATTGACCAGATCGGTGAATACATATGCGAATATAAATTAAATGCAAATATAAACACAGAGTTGTTCTCCTTAATATTTTTTGTTTCCTTTATTATCCAGGTGGTGGCGAGAGAAGCGAATGGCGGCGCCGCTTCTGCGCCATTATCTTTGGCAGTACAACTGTTGGATCAAAACGATAACGCGCCAGTCATACCGAAGACCCAACCAATCACAGTGCCCGCCAGTTTGGAACCTACTTCAGTTTATAAGGTAATATATTATAGATGTTTTAACAATAAATGTTTAGTTGGCTCGTCCTTAAGGTAGAACTTGAGATTCACTAATTACGTTTGTCAAAAATGGTAATGCCGCTGTCTCAATTCCTGAACATCGAATGCGTATCTATTGTAAAATTACAATTAGTAATTTTGCTGGATAGATTAGAAAGATAAAGATCAAATAAGGTAGAAGACCCGGTTTTGCCAAAACTAGATCATAATCTTAAAATGGCCAAAATACAGGCAAACAAAATAAGCCTAAACGTTTTAATATTTAGAACTAACATAAGTGCCAGGTTTAAATCATTATCCGAACAAAATAAGTCAACACGTCTCAAATTGATGTTTTCTCTTCTATCCTTCTATCATTGTCAATTTGTTTTAGGTGAGAAATGGTTTAAACTAAGCACTAACTTTAATTAGTTTTTAATAAATACAGAACATAAAATTACAAAAAATATGAACTCTTACATTTGTTAAAAAGCCTTAATTTTTTAAAGTAGGTATATTGAACATTAATCTAAAAGAACTGATAGCCGTTGGCCCGGGAAGGTTCTAAAATGGCGACCGCGTACCGGTCGACGCTCAGTGGATAGGTCCCTATTAGGTGGAAGACTACGGGAAGCCGCTGGATGTGGGCAGCGACGATGATGACGACGACGACAATGACGACGATGATGATGAAGATGATGATTGTCGTGGTGATAATGACGACGACGACGACGGATGATGATGATGGTGATGATGATGACGACGGTGGTGGTGATGATGATGAACATTTTTTTAAAATATCTGTTTGTTATTTGCAGGTGGAGGCGACGGACATTGACGAGGGTGAGAACGCACGTATAACGTACAACATCTACCACGTGTCTAACAATGGTGGCAACAAGTTCACTATAGATCCTAACACCGGCGTCATATGTGAGTGCCGCACGTATTGCTTACACATTAAAGCTAACGTTTGTTTGTACTGTCATGATATGAATAGCTAAGTTGAAGCCCGGTTTCTGAATTGAGAATTTAAAGTTCAGAACATCTCAAATTGCACTTAAACGTCACTTAAACAGATTAGTTTCCGATTTTTTTTAATGAGCAGTTAAATAAAACTGGTTCTTTTTGAAGTGTAAGTATAATTAGTTGATATTGAGTATTTCGGAAACCGGATCAATTCAGAAATCTGCTGTAATTCTTTATATTATCTTATATAGAGAATAGAATCCGTAAACTGATGGCCAAAATTTTATCTTTTTTTTTATTTAGTTGTCGCTGTTGTGGTTTGAAAATACATTTAGAAGTTTAAATCTAAACTTATGTAAACCATACATTTGCTATTTCTTATCTTCGCCGTAACATAAATGAAAATCAAAGTTTTGGAATCTTTACAGCGGTAACATGTTGAGTTTTGTATTTAATTTTCGTTTAATATTATAGACAGATTATTCTGAAGAATTATAGTATGTAAGTCGAAGTTATTATTTTCACATGATTTATAATCAATTCGTTTTCTTTTACTATTTACTACACTGTTTCCTTGTATAAATTAATAGCACGTGTTGTTTGTGTTGTATTTCCACGCTCTATTCGCACTATAATTTAAAATAATAGCAGTAACCGTCACATATCACTTTTAAATATTCTTAATTAAAAATGCTTCATAATCCACTTTGTCCCATATAAGAGTGCCAGAACAAAATTGGATTTTAAAACATTTTTCATTAAGAATATTTATTACAGCATTGTGAATACAAAATTGATAGAATTTAATAACCATCACTTTTAACTTTAAAATCTTAATTAGTTTTAGAAACTGAATCTTTTAGTAGAAGAGAATAGGTTAGAAATTTGTCTGTACTGTATAATTGATTTCTAACAAAATCTTGATTTATTGAGAATGATCATAATATTCAGCCTTTATGATATAATTTGTATTTAATGTTACACAAATTCACCAACTAAATTATAAATTTTAAGATTTTATACCTAGCTTACCCTGCGAACTGCATGCATAATATACGAGGGTCAAACTGAAAGTTCTTAGAACTGGCCACTTATAAACAATATAATAAAAAAATAATTCTAAAATTTGAAAATATAACTCTTTGCCAATATTACTGAGTATATATTTCATTCATTTGTCATTTGTTTTACGATTTGGCGGCAAATTGAAAATTGTCTGTGTCACGTCATCATGAATTTAACACGAGAAAATTTTCGTGCAATGATTTTTTATGACTTTCGATGTCATTTAAGTCAACAAGAAAGTTATGATAGACTACGATTGGCCTTTCACGATGAAGCCCCATCTCGTGCGACTGTTTACAACTGGTTTAATGAGTTTAAACGTGGTCGCACTAATCTCACTGATGATTTACGTGAGGGACGGCCTTCTACGGCGACGACTGAAGATAACATCTGTGTTGTGCGGCGTATGATAGAGACTGACAAAAGAGTGACCTATCAACAGATTCGGACAAGCTTAGGCATCGGTATGAGTCAAGTGCACAAAATCCTCCACGAACATTTAGCGGTCAGGAAGCTTTGCGCCCGGTGGATACCTCATAATTTGACTGAGGCTCAAAAACTCCATCGTGTGGATTGGTGTCGTAAAATGATTGAAAGATTTAACGGAGGTGACTCAAATGCTGTGTTCGACATACTAACAGGTGACGAAAGCTGGATTTACTGTTATGATCCTAAAACCAAAAGACAATCTGCTCAGTGGGTGTTTCCTTTCGAGGAGTTGCCAACTAAAGTGAAGAGAGATCGAAGTGCGGGAAAAAAAATGGTGGCCTCGTTCTTTGGAAGGATAGGTCATTTTGCAACAATTGTGTTAGAGGATCAAAAAACAGTTTCTGCAGAATGGTACACTACCAATTGTTTGCCACTTGTCTTGGAAAAAGTTCGAGAGAAACGACCTCGCAGTAGGATCCTCCTTCACCACGACAACGCCTCGTCGCACACCGCCAAGCGAACGATCGACTATTTGGCGACATCAAACGTTGAATTACTGGGTCACCCGCCGTATAGCCCCGACCTCGCGCCTTGTGATTTTTATTTATTTCCAAAAATTAAAGAAAAACTTAAAGGAAAGCGGTTTATGAATGCTGAAGAAGCGGTGGCTGCGTATCGCGATGCCATTGAAGAGACCCCTAAGGACGAGTGGGCAAAGTGCTTTTCCCAGTGGTTCCATCGCATGCAGCGGTGTATTGACGTGAATGGACAATATTTTGAAAAGATATAATAAAACTAATAACTGGCTAATGTAATCAGTTTTTGATTTTCTAAGAACTTTCAGTTTGACCCTCGTATACCTTATCTTCGAACAAACAAACAAAATTATTTGTCCTACACCATTCTCTTATATCTGTCATAGTAGATATTATTATCTTATGTCAGCTGAAAATTATACCAGCTAATGAAAGAGTAGCTCGGTGGCGTAGTGGATAAGCGCCGCGGCCCGCGATCGCGTGCGCGTCACGGGATGGGTGACCAAAAAAATATGTTGAAGGCACGTTAAGCCGTTGGTCCCGGCTGCATTTGCAGCCGTTGATATCCTCCAATCCGCATTGGGCCAGTGTGAAGACTTGTGGCCCATCCTTCTAAACCATTCATAAGGGATCAGGCCTCCCTGCAGTGGGGACGTAAAATGACTGATGATGAAATATGCTTTAATAATATTTTTTTTTATTATTCAGCTAGCACCGGTCGATTGCAAGCTGGCGAACAATATAGTGTCACAGTTCGTGCGACAGACGCTAAAGGGCTCAGCTCTCAGGGCATCGTGGAATTATCAGTAGCGCCCGGACCAAATACTAGGCCTCCACAGTTCTCGTCCAGGGATTATTACGCACCGGTATCAGAGGGAGCTGCTATCAACTCGACGGTTACTACAGTTACGGTATGTGAAATAACTATTGTCATATCAAATCAAATTAAAATCATTTAGTCAGACTAGCCTGTTACATGCACTTGTGTGAACCGAAACTATGCCATCGATCCGTCAATCTACGGCGGGAGGCCTTGTCTGTCTGCGCCCTAAAATACTCAATGTAATCGATGTTATTAGTTGATCATATTCGTGTTCGCACAAATGATTAAATTTTTGAATGATATTTGCACCTATCATCATAAATTGAACTAAGATTCCAATACAAACATTTAAAACGTAGTTTACACGAATTCGATTGGTACTAAAGGTTAATAAAGTTTAATTTTTCGAAATTTACTGAGAGAATCCTAGTTTTTTTTTTGCCCTAAAAGAGGAATCGAGCTATGGACGCTTTTGTAAAACTGACAATCGAAAATCTTAAAGTTCATTCAGAAAGATAGTAGCTATAATTTCGATATTTTGTTTTGTTAATATTACAAGTTGTCCTAACAAGTTTCATTTAATTGTGATAATAGTAAAATGTTTTTTGCTTACTAAATATTCAATAAATCTTGTAAAAGTGGTGAATAGTGGTGATGAGGTCAAAAATATCCAATTAAAGGTGCACTACTAGTGTTTGACAACTTTTTTAAATACGAATAACTAACTTGTCGTTTTCAGGCTAAAGATCCCGAGAACGAACCTGTGACGTATTCAATTGTGTCAGGCAACGATCTCCGTCAGTTCGCCATCGGGTCCACTACGGGTATCATCACCGTTATCCGAAGGTTGGATAGAGAAGTCCTCACCAGATATCAATTGGTATGTTACAATATATTCAATAAATATATTTAATAGTCTTCTTCTCTAGCCGATTTTAATCGTTAAGATGTAGGCTGTAGACGTCCCTCAGTTTATGCAATCTTCCTCGGTCTTGAGCAGTCTCCGTCTATTTTGTTTCCGCTAGTCTTTTGATGTGAAATGCGTCTGCTGTCTTCTTCGTGGGCGTTTCTTATCCCATGGTCTCCACTCCACTACTGTCTTGCAATACAAGCTGTGCTTTTTACAGGCGACATGTCCAGCCTCTCTCATTTCAAAACTCGTTTACTCACTCTTGTCCTCGGTCTAGCCTTAAGAATGAGATTTACGGTGGGACGAGCTTTTTTAAAAGGAATCATTCGCACTTGCCTTAAATAGGTTTAGGTTATATGGACTCGGAAATAAAGACGCCGGCAAGGAGTTCCACTCCTTATTACGAAAAACAAATATTTGTTATAAACAAATAATGTCATGGCGACGCTATGACGTCACGGCACATTGAAACCGATATCGTTCCATGTATGCATATGGTTGAATTCTCTAAGTTCTGATATGAATGAGCGTAAAATATTTGTTTTTTCATAAAAAGTTGAAGCAATATTATAAGTAATCCTAATAAGCATAAAAGTGTGACTATTGGTAATAGTATTAAATTAAACTACCAGAACAACATTTATTCATTTTCGTTTACTCTCTACACACGTATTCCATTTACTGTGTCTCACTGTAATTTGTACTAGCATGTCCTCAATCTTTCTCCGGGCGATTTCTCCTCTATTCAATAGCTACTTATAGTAATAAAAATAATTATGGCGGTGCATAAACTATCCGTTAAGGTTTTATTAACCGATTTCTAAATCGAAAAGGAGGAGGTTCCATAGTCTACGACGATGTTTCTTTTTTTCTATTATAGATGTTGATAACGTAAGAGTTTTATCTTTTTCTTTTTTGTTCTCTCTTTTAAATTTCGATCACTCAAACGCTAAGATATTAATCTATAATATATTTTTAATTATTTATCTATTTATTAATCTTATTCTATTTAATATATTTATATTCTTTCTTATCCGTATTGTTAACAAATATCAATTTTTTGTTTTCCTAAATGCTCAATGACACAAAAGCATTATCTTAACGTTCTGTCTCCTTGTGTGTAAGTAATAAATTATTATGTGTTCTACCTCTAACGCAATAAGTGCTTGAATAAAATGATAACTTTATAATTTCTGAATAATTCTTATAAATTACGATACTTATACATAATTATACAATTTTACAGATGGTCAAAGCAGAGGACCCTGGGAAATTAGCCAGTACAGCAACTGTTAATATCAAAGTCACCGACATAAACGATAACAATCCAAAGTTTGATGAAGAATCTTATGAATTCCGCGTTAAAGAAGGTATATAGTATATTTATTATAATATAATACAATAATAACAGTGCATGCTTAACTATCGTATTGTAATAAAATCATGAGTATAGGTTCGTTCATAATTCGAATCCCTTCTCGACCATTTGACCATTATATTTTATTATTTGCATTTTGCGACAGCTGATTTATTATTACAATTCTTATTTTATTTTATTAATAGTATTGTTTGGTTAATTTTTTACTACTTGGAAAGTTTCGTACCTGAAAAGTAAAAGCGGCGTTCATATAAGATCTGTTTTCTTAAGCTTGTTTAAAATTTTATTGAGCTTTCCATTATAAAGAAAATATTGTTTTTAAAATTTCTATGTTTTTGTACCGAGTCCTCAATGGACGAGATGGACTGGCCCTTTATTTTATTTTATTTTGTACACACAAGCTATAAATATACACATAATTTTAAATATTGTAAAAATGAATGTGTCAATATGTTTTCAGGAGAATCTGGAGAATCGGTTGGTTACGTCCACGCTGCAGACATCGATGAGGGTGTTAACGCTATTGTCAGCTATTCTTTACCGACACATTTGCCTTTTAGCATAGACAACGCTACGGGATTGATAAGCACTAACACTAAGCTAGATTACGAACAAACTAAGGTAAGAAGGACGATATCAGTACAGATATCAATTAAAGTATAATATTTTGTAGTATTCATATATTTATAGAATAGTGATTTATTTAAAGTGTATAAAAGCGGAAAATAAACATTGTACCTATTTTTAAGTGAGGGCGTGTATACCAACATTACATCACTGAATTAAAACAGTGAAATTAAATTCTCTATTAGACCAGTATAAGGATATTTCCTTTTCAGGCGTTATTATCCTGCAAACCTTAAAATAATATTTAGAAAACCAATAAAAAAAAAACAAATAAAGTCTTACGCTCCTTTCATTGTTTTTATGATTTGTTTTTTTACTTGTCAGTTGTTACACAATTCATTATTATTAGTCTGGTAATAACATAGTCTTTGAAAACGTCAATTGTGTCAGATCTAGGGAGTTTCTTTAGGTCGTTCTTATCGTCTTCAAATACGTCCTGCATGATGTAAGTTAAAAAATGTTGGACGATACAAAACTTTAATAAGTGTATTTGAAAAAAAGAAACTTGACTTTTAATGTATAAAAAATTCTAATCGATGCGTGCTAAATCAATGATATTATATTCTACAGTATTTAATTGGTTATGTTTTCAAAATAAAATTGTTGTAAAAAATACAGCTTTATGTAGTTCATTAGCACTACAGTTGTTACAAGAGAAATTCTATTACCTTTCATTTATTAAACTATAATTCCTCAGTTGTACGAGTTTGTAGTAACAGCAACAGACGGAGCTATAGATAAGCGTTTGGGAACTGCGTCGGTCACCGTGCAAGTACAAGACGTGCCCGATGAAGTACCGATATTCAAGGAATCTCTATATTCCGTACATGTACCTGAAAATGTACCCAATTACCCTGTTGTTAAAGTCCAGGTTAGTAACATTATTGCTATTAAGCACTTACGCGTATATCTAGTGTAGAATATTGTTTAATAAGAGTGATATACTTAATGAAAGAATAATATAATTTGTGCACCTTAACAATTTTACTAGTTAAAAAAATTTAAAACAACAGATAAAGAGTGCGTGAAACAATATACACACAAAAATAATATTAATTCAATTGTGAGCCAGTCTTATTCTGGAAGTTAATTGTAAATAGTTTAAGATACTCGAAATAAATTTTGGCGTTAAATTAATTTCATCTACATTTTTTTTCGTTTATGTGTGAGATAAATACTAATGTAGGATCATGGAATATCTACATTATTAAACATCGTCTAGAAAACTCTACTTCTGGGAACTTCACCCATTTTAATATGAGGTTTATCGGACTATTATTGTCAACACTGCTTGGGCACTGTGTATATGAGGTTTGGCGTATCTAATAAGAGCTTAGTTTAATTATCTTGCTCATATACAATTTAATTATCTTGCAGGCTGACGATCCAGATACCATGCCTGAGATAACTTACACTATCATGATGGGCGATACAGAGTCGTTCTCGATAGATCGTAAAACTGGCCTGATTAGGACTCTGAAACCTTTGGACAGAGAGACGATGGCTCGTCACGAAATCATAGTGGGCACTGAAGAAAATAACAGCGATTCGCCGCAATCCACTACTATGGTCGAGGTCTTGGTTGATGTAAGTTCAGCAAAAATTTACAGCTTTGAATTGGAATAACGAGAGTGGAGGGACGTCTTCAAGTACTGTTAAAGTGCTTTACGAACCTTTTTACTTTATTAATATGTTTATGTAATTGAACATTTTTTTTTTCTAGTTCTATAGTAGTATAAAATTAATTTTCGTACGTTTCCCTTTTAACTATTATATTGTTACACTGTGATGTTAATAAATTGGGAGTCTTTATAAATGTATTTTAAATACTTAAAGAAGAAAGATGTTTTTCCTAGCTTTTGACAATACTTTAAACATTTTATAAAACACGGTTTTCAACAGGACAAGAACGATAACGCACCTATATTCACGTCGGTAGTCCGGCCAATCACGATTGAGGATTCCTCGTCCATAGGCAGCTTAGTTCAGACGGTAATAGCCGTCGACGCGGATTCTACATCGCCTAACAATAGAATACGCTACAAACTAGTAGGACGTGGAAAGGCGTCCAAATACTTCCATGTGGAACCTGATACTGGAGCCGTTAGAGTCAGAGATGATTTGAGGAAGGAGACCGATAGCGAATACACGGTTGGTATATTTAAATATTTTTTATCTTGAGCTAGTTCAAAATTCGTATGATTTCAAAGTAAGAGTTAAGTTGGTCTCATTACAAAATGGAAATAAAATATTTTTGTGAATGAAATAACTTTTCATCATTATCACAAGTCTTCAAGTTTTTTCTATAAATGGTATGTAATTCACCATTATATATTTTTTTTTAATAGAAGGTATTTTTTACCATCCATTTATGCATATTGTAGTATACACGGAGTTGTATTTCTTGTGAATTAAATTATTCAGCTGCTTAAAAGTCTCTTCGTTTATATAATTTTATTTATATCATTTCATTTATTTTATGTATTATCTGCAGTATTTAAATTTTAGTGTGTCTAAAAATTTTATAGTTGATGTCATGTAATAATTTTTTATTTCCATATCAGGTTGATGTCCAAGCTTATGATCAGGGTGAACCGGTGATGTCAGCCGTGACTAGTCTCACCATCTACGTCAGCCATTCTGCTACTGTGCCACCCGATGTAAGTAGAACTTTATCACTATTTATTTAGGGACTTTCGCGTACATAACTGAAAGTTTTATCATTATAATACCTGGTAAATATTGCAAAAAAGAAAGATAAAATAAGTGTATTGTTAAGAAATTTACTTCTAGTTAATATGTAGTTGAAAGTCGGAGTGCACCAGGGTTCAGCACTTATCCCTTTTCTGTTCAATGTTATCATACATGCTGTATATAAGTATGTATGTATATTGTACTTATCGCAGAAATAGCAAAGAATCTCCAGACAGATTTAAGCGGCTGGGTGGGATCTTTGGCAGGAAATGAACTAAGAATCAGTTATAAAAAACCGAGCTAACGTCTTGCCTATTTGATTGGATCACAGATCCGACCGAAGCATGCATTATTAACAAACATATCAAACACTATTAAAGAAGGTAGATAAATTTAAATATCTCGGTTCCGTAGTAGTAGTAAAAGAAAAAAGTTTAAAAACAAGACGTACTATTCTATATGGATCAGAATATTGCGGCACGAACAAAAATAACATAAATAACCATAATACAGAAACGAGCATGTTACGCTGCTCAGCTGATGTTCCCTTACTCGATAAAATAAAGAATCAATATATATCAGAGTCAGCTTTAAAATAGCACCCATACCAAATGAACTGGTGGAATTGGTAGCTTAACTACCAATTTTCTGTTGACCTCCCTTATAATTTATTTTATAAAAAATAGGTAATAGCCTATTCAGGTAATAGGTCTAAGAATAGGCTATTACCTTATTTTTATAAAATTATTTACATCGAGCGATTAATGAAATTTTGTATATTGAGTAGGTACTCAATATACAAAATTTCATTAATCGCTCAATCCGTTTTGTAGGAGTATGGTACCTAAAACTGTAACACGAGAATTTTATATATTAGATTGTTTTTCTTTTCTAGGTGGGTCTTGGATTTGCAGACACTGTATACACGGAACATGTAGCAGAGAACTCTCCTAACGGGACATTGGTCCGTGTGTTACCACTGCTGAATAAGAGAGAACATTCACCAGATATACCACTCAAGTGTCTACTCACTGAATCCTCACAAAAAGGTGACTTATTTAAGATATTTAAACTATTAATTCATTAGACCTTTTCTATTATTATTAGAAACTAGATTTGTATTAGACATATAAACCTCTTTTCCTCTTGAATCAGTCTGTATAATTATGAAATTTGCATTTCTGTTGACAGGGGGGAGGTGACTTTTTTCATACTGTGTATATATTTTTGAAAATCAAATTTATATTCATGTTGTCTGATTATTCTGTAATTCGTCATATGTTTTTTTTTTAAACTCAATTATCACTCAGAACTACTTGGTATAGAAATGAAATTTAATTAATAATTTCTAAATATGCTCTGTGTTCGCTATTTAAAAATTTTACCTATAACATTCTACAAAAAGAAGAGTAAGTTGGAAGAACTTGTTTGTTTTTAAAATCGTACGATTCATTAACATATTTTATGAGGACCTCCGTAACCCATTGGATTTTGTATTGCCACCATCTTTGAGATCCCGGGTTCAATTCCCACTATTAACCCTGCCCTAAAGTTCATTTTCTGCATCGGTAGCAAATTAACTTTTCTTTTTTGTCTCTGGTCTGGGTGTTGTGCAACCTTCGTCATTGCTTTAGCTCCTCATCTTGGAATCCGAGAAATGTATCTGTGACACCGGAGGAGCCATAACACCCAGACCCGATACAATATAGAAAAAATCATTTTCTACATTGACTCGAACGGGAATCGAACCAGGGACCTCAGAGATGGCGACACCTTAAAACCAACGTGCGAAACACTCGTCCACAAAATTATTTATTTATAATATTTACCAACTAAATAATACCTTGCAGGTGTATTCTACGTTAGATTGACAGAAGAAAGAGATTGCGCGATATACCTGAACACAAGTTCATTAGATTACGAAGCCATAAGCGAGTACTCATTGGAAGTACAACTTGAATCGATAAAAGGGCTGATAAATCCTGACAGCAGTAGAGCGCTTATAAAAGTTCACGTTACGGATGTCAATGATAATGCACCAGTATTCACGTTCAGAGAGCAGTCCAGCATAGCAGGAGCTATGGGGAAGTACTTCGCTATCGTTACTAGGGATATGTTCTTAGATACCAACGTATTGCAAGTTAAGGTAAGTGTTTAGACTGACGGTATCATAAATAACTAATTTTAAACTACTGTTGTTTAATATGGAATGTATGTAATTTCACATGGAAAACGTTTTCAAATTCATATGGAAAACGTTTGTTAGATTAATGCAATTTTTTTGTATGAAGTTTACCCGAAGATCATTTTTCAAGTTTTAAACGCTCCCAATCGAAGGTAGATAAACAAATCTTCTAAAATAGACTTTAAAGACTGCTATTTTTGTATGATATGGTAGCAATTCTTTTGCACAAACGAAATTTAGATTTAATCCTGTCAAACCGCGTTTTCAAATATGAAAATAAGTATGATAATATAAGTAAACTTATATTATTATAGCAGACAGGAACTTTATTATATTTATTTGATAATCTTTAAAAAAATACCATAGATTAGGGGGCGCTCCGATCCCCTAATCTATGGTATTTTTATAATTAGATAAAAAGTAATTTGTATATGGTTTAATAGTTCATAAAAATTAAATATTATTTTTTTTACATTTTTGCTAAATCTCAATTATACATATTTTTAAATGAATAAACAAAAAACATAATTTTCATATATTTGTTGTAGTTTGTCGGTGAGTTGCGTAAACGTCCATTAAAAGTGTTGTTAGTAAAGGTTTAATTATGCCTTTAAGCTCTTAATAAATTTGACTTTCATTAGAGCTTAAAGGTGTGAAACACACGGTCAGCTCAATTGAAACACCAAAAAGAGCGAGTGATGTCATTTGTAGCTAAATTGATAGTAAAACTTTCAAGAAAAAGCGCGGGAAACAAAGTGTTACAAGGGTCAGTTTATTGTTTTTTTATATGTGAGTAAAAAAAAAAAACAAGTCCCGCAGACGATAATTCACTATTTTCATTGAAAATCCCTTTTGTTTACCTCCCAAATGACGTCACGTCCTCCTAGTCGCCATTTACGCTGTTTTTAAACAGTTAAATTTTAATCATAATTTAAGGTATACATATATGAGGTTTATTTATGTAAAGTATTTTTTTATGGAAATAAGCGCCCATAATGATTACTTTAAAACACTTAAAGGATAACACTATCATCTACTTACATTTTGACAGTGTATAATAATCTTAAAGAAAAATGCTTAAAAAATTCATGGCACGCTGAGATGGGAATGGATATTTTTAAGCATTTTTCAATAAGAATATCTTTAGTATAGCATTGTGAATGCAAAAGTGATCAAATACTTGCATAATAAGTGTATAATAAGTTTTTATTATTACGAATTTTACATTTATAATGCTATATTGAAATTTAACGTAAAGTACATATGATACTGATACGAAATATCTTAGATTTAAATGGAACTTGTATGGCTTATGGTCCTTCGAGCAGGATTCATGTAATTTTAAAACACATTTTCTGAACTGAATTCTTTTTATTTTGTTAGGCAAAAGACAAAGACAGTGGTTCTTACGGTAAAATAGAATACCAGAAGCACTCTTGGCCGAAAGTAGTGGAAGAGTACTTCAGCCTCGACGGCGACACGGGAATAATTAGGAACATCAAAACATTCGATCATCTATCACAGGAATTGTTACCGTTCAAGTTCTCTGTGACAGCGAGAGACAATCCTAATTCACCTCAGGACTATAATTTGGCGAGAGCATCTGTTGTGGTATGTTATTTTTTCAAGTGTTTTATATCTTCTATTACGGTCATCGTCAATACGTAAATTTTATTGCGTTAAAAAGAAGACTAGCATTAGATAATCACTTAAGGAGGGAATTCCTCTAAAATGGTGAACAGCGAAATAATTCAAATCTTTAGCCTAGCTAGTCGTACATTTTCTTGTGACTTTGCTGATATTTTCTGTTGACGTAGTAGTTGATTTTATACATGGTTAAAAGTATAAATTTATTCCTCAATACGGGTGTAGACTTAATAAAATAAATACTTTTTTGGTAGTGTTAAATATGCTATTACTGTTAATCACACTTTTATGATTATTATATTTATAATGTTGCTTAAGTTATTTATGAAAAACATATATTTTATACCTACTCGTTGTCACGTGACCGCAAACAGCGCGTGACGTCACACCCCTCTGACTAATATCAGGAATTTGAAGGATTCGTTATGCATACATAGAACGATATTAGTTTCTGAGGGTCGTGACGCCATAACAGAAGTGTAGCTTTCGCGGGAAATTATGAAAATTGAATTTATTTAGAGATTGTAACCTATTATATGAATGATACTTTTATAAATATTTTTTTAGATATATTTCATGTATAAAATAAAAATTTATTAACAAGTTGTCTACACCTCCATTGAACCCGAAACATTATCATGTTACCTCACAATAAGCGTAGCTGTAATACGAATAAACCTTTATTTAATATTTTTTTTACAGATCAATCTTCTTCAAAAAGAGAATCAGTTAGTTTTAGAGGTATCGAATATAAACAATGACGTCATGAGCCGTCGAGCTCGCAGCGTTCTCACTGCTATAGAGAAAGAAAGCGGTTTAGTTGCCGGGTTAGAAAAACTCACAGATAGACATTATCTGGGCGTTAATAACACATTGGAAAGTGATAGCAAAGGCACTGATATATGGTTGTATTTGATAGATCCTACCACTGGAAAGATACTGACAAGGGACTCGAAATCTGTTCAAGCGTAAGTATATTTTCATAACATGTCACAGATAATAATGTATTTGACAGCCAGTTGCACAAACGTCTATTAAAATTGTCATTAGTTTAAAGCGACATTACCCATACAAGTTTGACATTAATTAAAGGCGTCATTAAACGTTTATGGAGGTTTGTGTAACTGACTGTGAAAGTATTAAGGCTTCATATACAGTGTGAAATATTCTAATGCATTCACATACTTCAAAGCGGACTGGAAGCTGGAGATGGCAACAGCCTTTGAAAGTTTGAACTTTATTCAACCTTTAAAGTTCTTTCTCAGATTTAAATCCATTTAACTATTTTGTTTAGTATTATATAATCAATATATTTTCAACAGGGCGATCGATGAAGGAAAAGTGGACAAAGCGGTAGCATCGAGCTTGCAATCGCCTGTGAGAAAAGTTCGTCCACCTTTGATAGCACCGGAACAAACAAAGCGGCCGACGCAGGTTAAATTCAATATACATATTTTAGTAATATAAATATATTAAACAGGGATTTTCAAACCGCTTTGAACAGGAGAACTTTAAATATGTTTTCTCTTATTGCTACTAAATTAAAAAGAAAACTTTTTAATTTAAAATCTTTGCGGTTGATTGAGTTCATTTGTTTTCTCATCAGTTTTTAACAATATAAATATATATAAAAATGCATAAACAGTCTACCTATTCCTACCCTTTTAAAATATCAGTTATTATCTCGAGAGCTGCATTTTTGTCTGATTTATTTCATACAGTCATATATGGTTAAAACAATGTCATGAAGTTTCATAAAGATGGTGAAAATACTTTTATTTCTTATTTTACAGGTGGCCACTGCACCGCTAGCTACAGCGCTACCCGCTGCTCTGATAGCGCTCGCAGCGCTAGTTTTGGTGGCCGCTACAGCTGCCACTATATACATATGCGCTTCATGGAACAGGTAACTTACTATCAGACTCATTTAGCTATAAAGATAAATATTTCTATAAAGATAAAATAAGTCCAACAGATGACGGAAACACGCGTCAAATGGCTAGGTGACTGGTTTCAGGAAAAAAGTTTTAAGACTTTCATATGATATTAAACCACTGTCAGACTTTTTCTCAGACGAGTATTAATCAATAAAATAAAAACATTATCAATTAATTTGGAATGTCCGCAAAATTAGTCACTTGAAATTTTGTGACGTCACATTTCAATAAATATGAGTACTAGTTGCAACGTTGTGTAAATTATATTTATAAATCCTTGTTCTATTTATGACAATAATACAATCACAAATTTACTTGGAAATTTCTTTTAATTTATCACAAGGGCTCAGGCTTTCCTTATGGATAGCCCAATGCGAATTCGAGGGCATTAGCGAATGTAAATGCAGCCGGGACCAACTGCTTAACGTGCCTTCCGAAGCACAGAGTAGTTCGAGATAATATTTTTTTGGCTACCCATCCCGTAGTCGACCCTTGCGAAAATTGCTTAACAAAAACGATCGCAAGCCGCGGCGCTTATCCAGTACGCTACCGAGCTACTTATTTTTAAATTAATTCAACATACTTGCTTACAAAACTGTATTCCTTCTAGGTATAAGAAACATAAAGAGCAAGCGATCCAACAGTACGGCACGCTCAGTATGAGTATGCCGCCGCCGCGGCCACCCTCCGGTTACGAATCAAGCGAAGACGAGCCCGCACCGAGATACGAAACGCAGGTGATTATCATCATTCATCATCACCATCATCATCATCCATCATCATCATCATCAGCCCCTCTACGTCTCCATTGCAGGGGCTCAGGCCTTCCTTATGGTTGGTCAAGGAGGATGGACCATGACCCTCCACGCTGGCCCAATACGGATTGGAGGGTATTTACGACTGCAAATGCAGCCAGGACCAACAGCTTAACGTGCCTTCCGAAGCACGGATAGCTCGAGATAATAATTTTTTGGTCACCCATCCCGTGACCGACCATTGCGAAAGTTGCTTAACGACAACGATCGCGGGCTTATCCACTACGGCACCGAGCTACTATATTAGCATTATTAAATCAAATCAAAGCTTTATTTGTTTAAAATGTGATGATAACAGTTATAAACTTCAAGTGTGATCCATAACATATCTACTAATACATAGCATCCAAATATTTAATTATAATTAGAATTACATATAGTAAATTGATATATTTAGAATACCATAGAAATCATTTATTGAACACAGACACATGCAATTTTGCAAGAGACATTAATAAATTTATATTAAATTATAGAGTGCATCCGATGTGGTGTCCAAAAAGTGCCAACTCGACAAGTGCTGCAGTTAACTGCAACGTCGCTTTTCAGTTGGGCCCCTTAGGTGGTGTGGTGACGCCCTGCTTGAGTCAAATCAAATAAAAGATACCATAAACAGCGATAATCATGTAGTACCCAATTATAAAACATACAATTCCACACACATACTTTCATAATATACACTTACATATACATAAAAATTCTTTACATAAATACTTAAAAATCTCGTATTTTTATGTAAAAAAAAAGTAAATACTCAAGAATGAATTTGTTTAAAAACTGTTTGAGAGTCATATTTGCGATATTTCATTAAGTCACATTAAATTCGTGTTTTTGTCTGTATTGATTCGTGATGTTTTTTTGGGCCACATTAGATTAGAAAACGTATATTTACAAATAATATTTTTAATTTATTCAAGATCTCTCCTTATTAATTTTTACGTAACGTTCACATGTGGGTAATATATGTAATGGTTTTTGTCGCAGGTGCTAAATATGGCAGTTGATGATGCAGATTTGCAGTTAGATTTTAGTCCAAATAACCATGCTTTCAACATTCATAGTGTGCAGTATTTATCCAAAGATAATGGTAAGTATTTTGATTATTTGTATCATAGTCTCAATGTTATACAAGTCAGGTCAGTAAATAAAAACTCCTATTATCTGCTGAGTACAACCCTCTCTCCAAGGAAATTAACCATGGGATATCTTGGATTTTGAAAATTTTACAAAGATGAGCAATTCACACTTTTGATTTATTAAAATGTACATCAAATTCTTGTGATGGTGTGTTTTTATTTTATAGATGTGTCATGAATTATATACATATATATACGATTCTCAAAGTTCTGATATGGAAAAAAATATAATATGTATTAATTTTCTTTTACTGTTTACGCCCGTATTAAACGCATATTCAATAATGTCATATTATATCCGTAGGAGAACGCAGTCCAACACTTTCTGAAACAGCAACTACCGCTCGAGCGTCAAGTGTTAACGAAAACAGTGGAACACTAAACAACAGCACATTCGAAAATGTCGCTAACAACTCAACCATTGCGCGGAACACGCAAACACTAAATAGACGTGTACCTAACAACCACGCATTGAACAATTCTCTAGGCACGTTACCGAGAGTCAATAATAACAACACGGGTAGTGGTCTTCTAGCAGCAACTCTAGGAAGAAAAATCAGTAGTGGTAATAATCATAAGAAGAAAGCGACCCAACCCATTATGGCTTACGACGATATTCCTGGCTTACAACGGTTAGTATACAATATGCATGGGATAAATGAATGATTTTTTTTGTTAAATTAAAATTCAATAAAAAACATGAATTCTTAACTACCAAACGCCATTAAAATAAATGTCAATTCATGATTGGAAATGCTTAAATATGTGGCTATTTTTCTAAATTTATGGTAGGCATATCATAGACAAAAAACAAAATTAAATTACAGGTTTATTTAATGCTTCTTTTATTTCTTGTTAAGTATTTACCATGCTTATATTTATTAATCGTATACTAAGCTTGGATTCACTGGAGAAGTGAAGAATAATCATTTAGGGACAAAATTTATTGGTTCAAAAGATAAATTATATCATATATTTAGGTTTCAAATTAATATTTTTTCGTATCTTTGTTTCCCAGAGCCTCCGATAATGACAACGTCACATTTGGTAAAAGAAACTTCATTGGATACGCTTACGACCAATCACCCGTAGAAACAACCACAGAACTATAGTTGTCAACCTGTGATAATCTTTGATGTATATGCGATATGATTACAAAAAAGTGTCTTATCTTCATGGACATAAGTTTATTTTGCTATACAAGGAAAATTTTGCCAAACGAAATGTTGGTGACTGAACGAAGTTGTGATCTTTTCAAAGTGAAAATGTCAAGATTAACATATTTGGGGAGTCCGTCAAATCTTATGATATAATATTGAGATATTAGCATAATAATATTGTGTTCAACGAATGTCAATATAATTTTAAGTTTAAATGTTTATGAATTACGACTGAAATTTGCTTCAACCTAGTTAGTTGATGTGAATAACGAATTTTTAGATATTTTTTGTACTTAATAGTGTTTGCACTTACTTAGCGATGGCTAGTCTTTTATATGTGAACAAATTGTGCATAATAAGAATAATAAGTAACTTATAAAGCATGTAAATAATTGTGGCATTACACATTTGTATATTTTAATGGTACCTGATTGTGTACAGGTACATAATATTTTTGTATAAATGTTTTATAATGATTTTTATTTCTCTTTACGGCCTTATGTGTGCCATTCCAAAAATTGTATCCTTAAATTGATTCTCTCATATTTTTAGGTTTGTCATAGCTTGCCAGAGTTATGGCAATTCAAATAGACCAATGTAATGGACTATTACAACTAATACAAGGGTCGACAACCTTTTGAGAAGATAAGCCAAAAGTTGCATGCTACTTAAAAGAGCCCCTAAACATTAGTATTTGCTTATATTAGCTTGTATGCAAACAAACGAAAAAGTAATATTGTATACATATAAAGTCAAAACATATTTTTAACTTGAATATAAAATATAGAACCATAGTTATACAATAAATGATAATTATTTTAACTTGCATACCTTTGAGAGTGGTTAATTCTGGTTCAGAGGAAAACTGAAGAGCCGAATGTTGTTCGTGAGCCACAAGTTGTTGATCCCTGAATTAGTATGAAAATTTTATTTTTATTCTAATTTTTTTTATACACATATTTGTTCTAATTTTATTATTGTGTTAATGTAATACCTTAATATTATTTTTAAAGTAAATTTCCGTTCCTCTTTCAATATTTTGTACGAATTTTGTGCCAGTTAAAAATAAATGACTTAGGATACTTAACGATTTTATAATTATCATAAGAATGCTCGTTTAAATAATTTACCTTTCACAAAGTCTGGCTTATCAAATTGTGCCAAAAGTCAATGAAATCCTTTTTGATACATATGTTATTACTTTTCTATGTAAATATTTTTATTGGCTAACTATACGTAAAATGTTACCCATAAATTCTTCTGTATGATATATTGTAAATTTTTAATATATTTTTATTCCACTTAGTGAAATGAAATTTGTATTATATTTTTGTGAAATAAATTGTTAATATTTTTGTGGAATAAATTTTTTAATTATTTTGAATATTTGATTTTTTTTTCAACATTTTCATGAAATTATCCGATTTATAAGATGCAGTTAATACATATTATTAAGAGTCAGAAATGAGAATTACAAGTAACCAGAATATAGATATGAATATATTGATATAATATATTTACAAGGTGGACCGACGATCTGGTAAAGGTCGCGGGAAGCCGCTGGATGCGGGAGGCGCAGGACCGACCGATTTGGAAATCTTTGGGGGAGGCCTATGCCCAGCAGTGGGCGTCTCTCGGCTGAAGTGATGATGATGATGATGATATAATTCTGTGATATTTAAAAAAAATATTGTTTATTTCCGTAGCCGTAATGCAATGAGATAATGTTGTCAAATGCTCTGAATAGTTATTGTTGAAGTATTGTTTATATGCGGTTAGATCGTTCGCACCGCGCTAATATCGTCACAATAACAGTTATGAGATGGCGTCGTAATATCTGCATCGCGCTAAATAAGTTTTGCCACAACTTCTTATATATCGATACTTGAACCAAGACCATCTATCTACAAGAAGTCGATTTTACAGGAGACGAAAAAAACGTTTCATATGTTTCCTACTAGAGATGGGTCGTTGACAGATTTTCTGTCGACGAAACGAAGCCGTTCATGGACCTTGATCGACTAGTCGATCAACTAGTTGATTTTAACTATAGTTGACATATAGAACTACGTCAACGGGTACATACTTTGGACGAAGTTTAACGGTTTTAATTGTTTTATTGAACCGTATATCAATATTGAAAAGTAAAAATTGTTGATCATCGGTACCTGGTTATGATTTTTTATTGTCGAAAGATAGATAGCGCTAGTATTCTAATTAGATATTGTTTTGGGTTTTGTATTTTAAACGAAACCGTATTAATAAGTCTTCGCTATCCGTCCGTCTGTCTATCACTAGGCTGTATCTCATGAACCTTGATAGATAAATAGTTAAAATTTTCACATAAGATTCATTTCTTTTGCCAATAATGAACAAATACTAAAAACAGAATAAATATTTGCTTTTATTTAATAAAATAATGTTTTTGCTCGATATCGATACTTGCAGCGAGTAGACCCTTGATATATTTACCGAAGATTTGTCTATATACGTATTCACTTTAAAAATAAACAGTTAAATTAAAATAAAATAAATACTCAAGTTGGCTCTCGTACAAATACAACAGATTACCGTTTTATAATGGTATGTACGGATCTCTTCGTGTGCGAGTCCAACTCGCACTTCACTTAGCCGTTTTAAACATACAGTTAAAATAAATATTATGAAATTTTTCTGTAATAGGATAATTAATTTAATAAATAATTAATTAAAATAATAAATTAATGAATCATTATATAATTCGGATGCAAAAAAGACTAAAAATCAGTTATAGTAGAAAAAGTTAACTTATACTAAGTAGTAAAATTCTTAACACCGGCATGTCAAAAATTGTATAACACCATCTATCGGGGATTAACGTAAACAAACAAAGTCTAACATGTATTTAAACAAGGCCTATATATTAGATACGCGTGTTCAAATATTTACTTACTTCCTTTAACTTTAGAGTTTAAATTATTTCAGCTGCCAAGTTACATGAAAATTTAATAATGGAAACAACCGAATTCCATTGTATTATACAGATAAAGTTATGCGTTGCAGTTTCGTAACATGTTTATAGATGAACGGTGCGTTCTTCGTTTAGCCGTCGACTTTTTAACTGGTTGTATTATACGACAAAACTAAAGCGTTGTAGACTAGGTGTACGTTGATCAACGAACGTAACGTTCTTTATCTGATCATTGAAAATTCAACTAGTTGAATTATCAACTATAGTTAACGTATGCAACTACGTCGACAGGATAGACGTGGACGGATGGGAGTGTGCGTTTATTTATGAACTACAACCAACGTACAAATATTAACCGTATTTGATGGACTATATAGACTTTCGCAGTTGGCCGAACTACTTCACGTTAATGGATATAAAAAATAATATAATATTTATTTTGTGTAAGATCGTAGTTACCTAGGTGTAGGTATAATAGAAGAAATTTACGGTTTCATGTTTTTTAGTAATCTAACTAGAAATCTTTAATAAATATTTTATTATATTTATCAATAAATATTATTTTTAGTTTATAGTGATATGTTTTACTATTTTAACATAATATTATAGGTATACTGTACTTTAGGATTTCTTTGTTTTGGTTCAAAATAAAATTATTAATCTCTTAATATTCAAAATTATTGATATAACAGTTGCCCAGAGTGAATTAAATTCTCTAAAATAAAAAAAATCTATAAACGTTCTTTCAGAGAAAGAAAGGTTAGATAGATTATTCAGACAAAAAAAAATCCCAAGGAAACCCTAATAAAACACACAATTAGACGAGTGTATGCAAAACTAAAGAAAAATTTCATATTGCAACAATAGTTGATCTATACTAATTAGTAAAATTCTTAACACCGCCGTGTAGATAAATACAAGAACTGTATAACACCATCTATTAGAAACAAATGTAAACAATAATCACTTTTGACATTCATACATACAAGGCCTAAGTATTAGACGCGCGTATTGAAATATTTACTTACTGCCGTTGACTTTAGAGTTTAAATTATTTCAGCGATCAAAGTTACATCGAATCTTTATGAATGGAAAATGATGCGTTGCAGTTTCATAACATGTTGTTAGACGAACGGTGGGTTCTTCGTTAAGGCGTCGATTTTTCAACTAGTTAACCAAAGAACTGTCAACCGTCGACGCGTTGATTCTACGTTAACGGTTGATTTAACTAGTCCGTTGATTCAATGCCCATCGCTATTTCCTACAACACGTTTTTTTATTATTATATCTGATCATTTAATGGATAGGCATAGGAAATAAGGTGTTTATATGTATTTCATTCAAGAAATCTCTATTAGTTTCAAAATTAATTTAGAGATGGGTCGTTGACAGATTTTCCGTCGACGAAACGAAGCCGTTCATGGACCTTGATCGACTAGTCGATCAACTAGTTGATTTTAACTATAGTTGACATATAGAACTACGTCAACGGGTACGAACTTTGGACGAAGTTTAACGGTTTTAATTGTTTTATTGAACCGTATATCAATATTGAAAAGTAAACATTGTTGATCATCTGTACCTGGTTATGATTTTATATTGTCGAAAGATAGCGCTAGTATTCTAATTAGATATTGTTTTGGGTTATGTATTTTAAACGAAACCGTATTATTAAGTCTTCGCTATCCGTCCGTCTGTCTGTCACTAGGCTGTATCTCATGAACCTTGATAGATAGATAGTTAAAATTTTCACATAAGATTCATTTCTTTTGCCAATAATGAACAAATACTAAAAACAGAATAATATTTGCTTTTATTTAATAAAATAATGTTTTTGCTCGATATCGATACTTGCAGCGAGTAGACCCTTGAAATATTTACCGAAGATTTGTCTATATATGTATTCACTTTAAAAATAAACAGTTACATTAAAATAAAATAAATACTCAAGTTAGCTCTTCGTGTGCGAGTCCAACTCGCACTTCACTTAGCCGTTTTTTAA